TGAGACAAGCTTGTTGACCATTACACCACAACGAAGTGCCTCAAATGATTTTCTAAGCGTAAAGCAATGTGGCACAAGGCCAAAAGTATGGAGCACCCAGTAACGATAGAATTCATTAATCAGTCGTAATTGATCAAGTGAGACAAGCTTGTTGACCATTACACCACAACGAAGTGCCTCAAATGATTTTCTAAGCGTAGCTTAAATGTAGCACAAGGCCAAAAGTATGGAGCACCCAGTAAGGATAGAATTCATTAATCAGTCGTAATTGATCAAGTGAGACAAGCTTGTTGACCATTACACCACAACGAAGTGCCTCAAATGATTTTCTAAGCGTAGCTTAAATGTAGCACAAAGGCCAAAAGTATGGAGCACCCAGTAAGGATAGAATTCATTAATCAGTCGTAATTGATCAAGTGAGACAAGCTTATTGACCATTACACCACAACGAAGTGCCTCAAATGATTTTCTAAGCGTAGCTTAAATGTGGCACAAGGCCAAAAGTATGGAGCACCCAGTAACGATAGAATTCACTAATCAGTCGTAATTGATCAAGTGAGACAAGCTTGTTGACCATTACACCACGACGAAGTGCCTCAAATGATTTTTCTAAGCGTAAAAGCTTAAATGTGTAAGCACAAGGCCAAAAGTATGGAACACCCAGTGGGGATAGAATTCACTAATCAGTCGTAATTGATCAAGTGAGACAAGCTTGTTGACCATTACACCACGACGAAGTGCCTCAAATGATTTTCTAAGCGTAGCTTAAATGTGGCACAAGGCCAAAAGTATGGAACACCCAGTGGGGATAGAATTCACTATTCTGTCGTAATTGATCAAGTGAGACAAGCTTGCTAACCATTACACCACGTCAAAGTGCCCAGCATTCATATATATGATTGTTATTGCAATATTTTGTTCAAGTTGTTAAGCGCAAATATTTAATGATACGATAGGGAACTTTCTACTGGCATTTTATTGTCGTAGAACTCGCCATGAGCTTATTTAATCATTAAGAGTTACGATTCATCAGAAAATCCAAATAGAAAAACCGTGAATAGATAGTGAATAGGTATTTTTTTATCTATGGTCTTTAATCAAATTGGTATTAATGAAGGTTGGATTCGCGTTGATTTAACGGAATGCGACTCAGAATTCTCAACATCTTTCAGTAAAAACACATTTCTGTTGCCTCAAGACTCCTCTTCATCTGAGGGAAAACTTGTCAAGTATTCACTGCCATATAGAAGGATTTATATTTATATTACATAGCAGTTCAGTGATATTTTATTCGTTTCTTTCTGTTCAAATTCAGAATGGATTTTATTAGATAAATATACGAGGTGAATTCAAAAATTATCCATCCTTCGAGCATAAAAAAATCAAGTTTGTATATTTCACAAATTTTATTTATTCACCTTGGGAGTTCACACATTTCTTAAACGGTTCTGTTACTGCTGCTAAAACCGCTGGTCTTATCAGCAGTGGCAGATTGGTTCCGTGACCCCTGACCGTCATTAATTAAGGACTGTTGCCTGAACCCATATATATGGTAATTGTAATGTAATCAGCTGCTTCAATTCAGGAAACCTTTGGCATTCGTTAACCGAACAGTTCACGTTAGCGCCAGTTGGAATTTAAAATCTTTTCCTTTAAATAGCTTTTCAGAGAATTAAACTACTTAAGTCCACCAAATGTTATAGCTCTTTCTAATATTAATATGTGGTTTCCTTCCTAAACTTTTGTTTAACGTAGTGTGGAAATTCAACATCTTGAATTTAAAAGAAGGCTCAATACAAAGTAGAGCAATATTATTTATTTTAGGATATTACATCGAAAACATGTCAAAATCGCCACACAATTGCAAGACAGTTGTGTTTCGATGTGTATCAATGCTTCTCATCGGATGATTATAAATTACTAACGCCTGGTGAAATGTGATACGCATCGAAACACGACTGCAATTGTTTAGCATTTTGACATATTTTCGACGATTTAATATCGTAACATAATATATATATATATATATATATATATATATAATATATATATATATATATATATATATATATATATATATATATATATAAAGTTTTGCTAAAGGCGACTGACTAGGTACTGTGATTAAGTTTTTTATTTAATTTTTCTTGTGTTTGTATATTTTTTTTCTTTTCTGGACATAAAGTGTGTAAGAGATTCTAAACTCAAACATAAAAAAGAAACATAATTAACCAACATCATATAACTATAATATATAAATGTCAATTGAATGAAAATAGATAATTGCTGCATCAGTTTTTGTTTTTTTTATCCTTTACTGGCAATGTTGAAAAGACATAAGGTAAATCAAGGCAATTCAAAAGGAAACCTTGGAGATTTTTACGGAACCTTAGAGTCCGGGAAACCCTAATTGAGAAACACTGAATTAGATTATAACCACTGACGTGCTTATTGTGTCAGTGTTTAATGTATGTTACCACTGCTTTGGTCATTAACTAAAACTCTTGAGTCTAAGCTTGAAAGAACCTACACTCGGATGCTGAGAGCTAAACTTAACATCTCTTGGAGACAATATTAAATTACAGCTCTCTGATATTTCTACAATCTTACGTGAACTCAGAATGCGATTTGCAGAAGCAAATCAAGAACTCTCTAGTGATCTACTGCTCTGGACACCTAGCCATGACACAAGACGGGTTAGTCGCCCACCAACCACCTACCTTGACCAACTATGTTATGATACCGAATGCCGCCCTAATGACCTAATTGTGAAGGATATCGGAATAATACTGAATATATACTGGCAGTAAGCCACCAACACACGGATAGAAAATGAGTCCAGTAAATAAGCAAAAATAGAAAGGGGTGTAAGACAAGGATGTGTAGTCTCGCCAGATTTATTCAATCTATACAGTGAGGCGACTCTGACACAATTAAAAGTCCTACCAGGATTCATTATTGATGGACATCATCTTAACACCGTAAGATATGCAGATGAGTGTGTTGGTAGCGAAACAGAAAGGAAACTATAAAAACTCTCACAGAAAGTAGTGAAGGAAAGCGAGAAGAAAGGACTAAACCCCAATTGCAAGAAGACATAATGCATGGTTGTTAGCAAAAGAAACAGTTCAGATACGGGGGGGGGTCATTTTACAGTCAGTATGCGTGATAATGATAAAATCTCACAATTTTAGATCTATTTTGCAAGACATTGTTGTCAAGCAAAACAAGAACTCGCAAGTGATCTACTCTTCTGGACACCTAGCCATGGAGCAAAACGGGTTGGTCGCGCACCAACCACCTACATTGACCAGTTATGTTTTGACACGGAATGCCGCCCTAATGACCTTCCGACCTTCCGATGCAGGACCGTGATGGTTGGCGTGATAGATTCATGAATGTCCGAATTTCTTACTTTCTATGTGCCAGGACGTAGGCGATCATGGCTCTCCACCACTCTCTATCCCTTGCAGCTCTCAACAAGTTCCTTCCCTCTGTCACCTCCCCCAGACCACGTTCTGTCATCCACTTGCTTGAGGCCGCTACGTATGTCATGCGTTGTTTTCCCTTGTCTCTCAAAACGTGGAATAAGGGAAAAGACTTGTGCCACATTTCGTATAAAAAATAACCTTCACTATGGTGCCTAAACTTTCTGAATTTAAACGCAGTACTGGATTGACAACGAGGTCTCATCAATTTATAGTTGAATTGCCTAGATGTCACTGTAACTTCTACTCTAACAGTTTCTTTTCTCGCACTTCTCGCTTGTGGAACTCTCTCAAGTTTCCATGCTTTCCAGTCAACTTTAATCTTCAAAAATTTAAATGCAATGTCAATCGCTATCTGATGACTTTATTAAGGAGAGAGAGCACTAGAAATGTTTCTAATTCTTCCACGCCCAGTAACCCCGTGTGTCTTTGTGGCTTTACTGCCTAGCCTGGAATGAATTTGGTTAAAGACATTTAAAAAATAAAGAATTTTAGTTCCTTTAATCTCTTTAACGACCATCGACACCATTTCGTTAAAGCGTTTTGCTAATGAGGAACCAAAAATAAGCTTCGATTGTGCTCCCTTGTATTTTAAGCATTGTGTCACAATTGTAGGCAAATTTCCTGAAACTCTTTCATCAATTCAACATCAAGAACTCCAGCATTTTTCAAGGAGTCTGCCCATTTCCTCATCATTGACATGAGTAAATTGCTTGTGAAGTTTTCCTGCGATATTGTGTTATTGATTCGTTTTGTACGGTTTATCAACCCTTTGCAGGTTATTTAAAGCCAGAAAATAGTTTTAGATTTAAGAATTATTTGGGGGTTGGGATATAACAATAGTTGAGTGATGCAAGTCTTACTAAGTAGCCCATAGCTGGTGGGGGGAGCTGTAGATTCATACTCAATCAGAATTTGATAAACAAATATGAAATGATAATGAGGATATAAAGTGGGGGATCAATTCTACATTACAATCAATACATAAAATGATCCCTCACTTTGTAGCCACGGTAGTTTCTATACATTTATATTACAGAGAATGCAAAATAAATCTAAAAGACATACTTGTGTAGCTAATCATTATTTAATTGATTGATTGGTTTTCTACGGTTTATCAACCCTTTGCAGGTTATTTAAAGCCAGAATTTTTGTTTTGGTTTTAGATTATATCAGTTGGGATGGGGCGGAGATAATTTTTTAAAGATTTCCTATCAAAAATGCAAACAAAGCAACTATCCAACAACTGATCATCTAAAAAATAAATGATTAAATTTGTGCGAGATTTGATTAACTTCAAATAATCATAATCATAACTTGACAAATATTTGGAGTTAGGACAAAAACCAATTCTGAAATCTGTTCACTTTCAGACTAAATATATCGCTTGGAAAATGTTCCAAAAATGCCAAATGTTTCTTTGAACCTTAGAAACAAATTTTTCCCCGGGCAATGCCGGCTAGCCATGCTTGTATAACTGAAAATATTAAAAAGACGAATAATTTCTTTCAGAATTCTGTGAAGCTTGTGTTGTAGACACTGGCGCTGGTTATTACCAACACCCTTTGCGTTGCGATGTGTTTGTTCACTGTGCCCAGAGCGGAGACAACCGGACGGTAATGGCCACCTTAAAGGAGTGTCCAAGTGGTTTGTATTGGTCGCAGAATGACCTCACCTGTCGGCATCACTACGAAGTCAACTGTCCACAAGGTAAAAATCATTTTTCTTTTATATTTGGGTAATTTGATTCGATAATAGTCAATCTATTAAACCTTTATAAACCATCAACCCTGAAAACTCGAGTCATGTTCTGAAATAGCCTCGTCAGAACGAAACTTTCATGTGGATGTCATGCATGGCGCCAATAAACAAAGAAAAAAATGACAGCAAATCTTCAACCGTAACAGCAGCAGCAGTAATCAAAAACATGGCCAGCAGCAGTGACAGTGACACCCTCATCAGCAGTTAATGTTAAGTTTAAAACTGTAAGTTTACTCCAGCAATTGTATTAGTGGATGAAATCGTTGGTTTGCGAATTTGGTGACATAGTGGCTGTGAGTTCAATCCCTGGGTTGGGCAGTGTGTACTCGCACTCAGTGGAAACGGCCGAGCAATAGCTCAACAGTAATAAATAAAATAAGAACTAGACTTGAACAGTGGTACGAGAACAGTCTATCCCCGTGGATTAAATAAAGTGTTCAGTTCGGAATTCCTTATAAATTACCCAGATCGATATACACCTGAGGACGACCGAAACGTTGTGATAAAAACAACAAAGATGATGACAATAGTCAGAATGTAAATAGTGTAAATAATAACACCTCATCCCCAAAATTCAGACAAAAATAAAAATTAATTATAATAAAATAATTATGACAATTATAAATGTCATTAATACGATTCACCATTTCTAAACCAATAAGAATCAACCAACCTCTTCTCCTCTTCCACACACAAAAACGTGACACTCTCACAATCAGACTTGGCAGTGAATACGAGGGTTGACCAAACATTTCGACTCTTTTACTTTTTTCACTCTAGAACGGTAACAATTATCTTTTAAAACACATAACCAAAATTCGAGGTCAGAAAACTCTAGACATTTTTTCTCCAACTAAATTATCTTGACACTCACTACATTATATAATATGCAATATATATATATATATATATATATGTGTGTGTGTGTGTGTGTGTGTGTATCACATATATATATATACAATATATATATATAATATATAAAAAAATATATATATACAATATATATATATAAATATATATACCATATATATATATATATATATATATACCATATATATATATATAAAATAAATATATATATATATATATATATATATATATATATATATATATATATATATATCACATATAAAAAAACAAACAAACGAGAAAGCCTGTATACAATTTACCCATTCCTTATCATTCTGTCGGATTCCGGTCCAAATTTGATCCCAATTCACAATTTATTCAGTATTCCTCACTCACATGTCTCCAACACCCCACAGCAACCACTGTCAATCAGATAATAAATAATATTTGTTTTGTTGTTTCAACGTCCTACTATTTTTATCTTAGCCGACGCGTTTCGTCCACTGAGGGAATTTATCGAGGCAAATGCAAGGATTTTATTTTCTAACAAGTATTTATACACAAGAGCAAAAATGTAATTGGTTTTTAAAAATTCTTGAGTTAGGAAGAATCGGGTTAGCTGAAAATGTCAGGTAAAGTATGGGTTATGCGAAGTGATACAATTCAATGTCTAATAAACGAAAGTAAGTGATTTTTTGGATTTTTTTTTAGCAATATTGTGCAAATTGGTATTTGAATTAATTTAGTTTGGGATTAATTTATATGTTATCTATTTTGAATAACATGAGGTCGTGGGTTTAACCGTTCTCTTTTATTTTTGTATTTTTTTTTTTTTTTTTGACATTTTTGTCGTCATAAATGACTTGGAAAATTGGCAATTCTTTCAGGAATAGAAATATTGGAAGAAATCCAGGTCGCAGACATATTTTTCTATGTATAAATGTTAAGGAGTTTATAATTATTTACCCAGAGTTATAATTCCCCTACATGTTATGTCGGCCGATAAATCTCTTCTTCTTTTGCGAGGAGATTATCAGCCTTAACTTTCAGACTGAAGATTAGATACGAGGGTCATTCAATAAATAACGTGAATTTTTCGGTATAAGGATTTCTAATACAGATAGAAGCTTACTTTTTTTTTCAACGTAGTCTCCCAGAACTGTCACACACTTTTCCCATTTGTGCACAATCTTCCGTATTCCCTCAGCGTAAAAATCTTTGGACTGATGTCTCAGTCAGTCGCTCACAACACTTTTGACTTCATCGTCACTTTTAAACTTCGTGCCTCTCATGAACGCTTTCAAGGGATCAAACAGGTGAAAGTCTGAAGGGGCAAGGTCTGGGCTGTAAGGGGGAAGAGGGAGCAGTTCCCAGCCCAGCTCGTTGATGGTCTGCACCGTTTGGACTGCTGTGTGAGGCCTTGCATTGTCATGATGCAAGATGACCCCTTCTGACTGATGACCCCTGCGTTTTGTTCTTTATGTCTCTCTTGATCTGCTTCAGCAGTTCACAGTAGTTCTTCTGTCAGACTGAATGAGGTCATTGACTGATTCGATCACCTCAGGAGACCTCACTTCTGTAGGCCTCCCTGGACTGTCTTCATCCTCAACACGACTCCGTCCTTCTTTAAACAATTTAGCCCACTTGTAGACATTTTTTGGCTGAAACATGTGGAACCATACACAGTTGACATTCTCCTATGAATTTCAACTGGTTTGCACCCTTCAGCAACCAAAACCTTGATAACTGACCGCTGTTCAATCCTGGAGCATGCTTCTTGGTCGGCCATCTTTGTTAATCGCCAAAACTCTCAAAGTTTTTTTTTTTAATCTGCAAAAGAAATTAAATCCATGTGAAAAAGAAGTAGAACAAAAAAAATATAAAAAAAAGTAAGCTACTATCTGTATTAGAAATCCTTATACCGAAAAATTCACCTTATTTATTGAATGACCCTCGTATAAGAGTCCAGTACACTTTTCTTTGTTTTTAACGAAATGCATAACAATGATGACATTCTTTCATTTAGATCCCTGCAAACAGCCGGGCCGAATAGCCTATCGGGAAATCTTTTCTTGTGCTGGATATTACATCTGCGTGAACGGAAGTCGGGAGGTTGCGCGCAATTGTTGCAAGGATAAATTCCGGTTTGATGAAATCTCACAGAAATGTGTCCCCGACGAGATTTGCCGATCGAGTTGCCACTCCAACTTAGTTCTCGTCACAAATTCGGACACCCATGGTAAGAATAAAGTCAACAAACCTGTGTATACTTTTACTGGCATTATGCTATGCAATGGCTTGTCGCCTGCTATAACTGAACGGCCGCGCATTCAGCCAAACTTTAAATCAGGAACACCGAGCGACCATCAATAAGGCAATAGTAGAAATTTAAGAAAATTTAAGGATCAATCGTAGTTGGTTGCGTACACGAAAATAATTTGATTTATATAATAATGGCCGGATACACGTTTCCGATCACAGCCGTCTGCTCAGGCAGATTTGTGTTTGTTCAACACCCATGGAGTTCACCTGTGTTTTTTTTTTTTTTTTTTTTTTTTTTCTATTTTGTTTTACTGCAACTGTGCTGAGCGGACCCGTGGTACAGTTTCTGGAATGGAGCTTATTATCTAGCGTGATCGACAGTCAGAACAACGCGAGTTGAAGTAGACTTTAGAAGGAACCGGAAACCTAATCCTAAACAGGAAACAAGGGATGAAACTCTACCCCTGTTCAAAAGACCGACAATCCAATCTACTCCTGTTGAGGAGGAAAAATAAAAAAAAAATAATAATTAAAATTTCAGAGTTTAGGCGGAGACCTTAGAAGTATAGAGTTGAAGAATACTTTAAAAGGAACCAGAAACCTAATCCTAAATAGGAAACAAGGGATAAACCATTACCTCTTTCAAAGGACCGGAGTGGAGAGTGAACCGGACAATAGGCAAACCAATTTACTCCTGTTGATGAGAAAAAATAAAAAAATAAATAGTAACTAAAATTTTAGAGTTTAGGCGGAGATATTAGAAGTACAGAATTGAAGTAGACTTTAGAAGGAACCGGAAATCCAATCCTAAACATGAAACAAGTGTTAGACCTCTGCTCCTGTTCAAAAGACCAGGGAGGAGTCTTTATCTATATATATATAATGTATGAGGAGCTGTTTATTGTTAGGGCGGGTGTGGGATGTAATACGCGTTATTCAATTGAATAAATGGACAAAGACTATCTATTAGGCTTTTTGAATAATTTTTTGCCTGTTGCGAATAAATCGTTTAATGTCTGGTAGAAACTTGCAAAGGAACTTTACAGAAACGGTGATTTAGAAATTTGGGGGCTGTTTTCTAAGACATGTTAACATCTTTAGCAATGCCTCATCATCACTAAATAATCGCTGGCCTCTAAGTGCCAAGGCTGTTGCGAAGTTCTTGAAGCGTCCCAATTTGAGTAACCAAGGAACTACACTAAACACCAGTGACTACCATGACTCACCTGAAGTCTTTTCATAGCGTTTTGCAATAGTGATTCTTCTATCATTTTCTATCTATGTCTATAATAAAAGCATCAGTAATAATACCATTATTTTATTCTTTAGTACCAATTTGTACGATGAAAGCAGTCGCCGATGATGTCACAGTCTACCTCCAGGAAGTTCACGGATATTTCTACCGAATGCCATGTCCAAGAGGCACGGTGTTTTCCACCAAGGCGTGTTCCTGTGTCCGGGGACGACGCAAAAAGATAGGTGGGTTATTTCAATATATTTAGTAGTAAACTTATTATTTCAGTCAGTCCATATTTTTCTATTTCATTCTAATCCTCCCCATCTTGTTATTTCAGTTTATCCTTATATTCTTATATATATGACCGAACAAACACCCTGGCGAAAGGTTCACTGAAAGACTAGTTAGAAAAGTGTTGTTCATATTTATAATAAAATACTTGGCTTCAGATGAACGTCAAATTTAGATTAATTAATCTCAAGCATATTGGCTAATATATTTTTCTCAATTTTTTCTATATTGATCGTGAAAATTCAAATAATTGGAGCCGGTTTTGTACAAAATTCGAGTTATTTTCTGTGAGCCTGTCAATGTACAAAAATGAGTTTTCAGTGACAGTACTTAAATCTATTACCATTTTTCTACAATTCTGGAATAGGACTCCACACACACACACAAACACACACACACACGCACATATATATATTATATAAGTGGTTGTTTCAATTAATTTGCATAAGGGTATATACAGTGTAACCCGGATATAAGAGACCCGGATATAAGAGAAACTCGGATATAAGAGAGATTTTCTCTGATCCCAAATTAGAGCCTGTGTTAATGTATATAAAATAGACCAAACCCGGATATAAGAGAAACCCGGATATAAGAGACTTCTCCGCTCCCGACAACTCTCTTATATCCGGGTTACACTGTAGTTCATAAAATGTGTTAGTAAATTTACTATAAAAATGTATTTTTATACTTTTTAGTCTTGCACTCTTTGGCATTTTGCTATAAAATCGTTGCTTATTTTATCATAAAAATGTACTGTCGATTTTTGTTTGGGTGTTCACTATTTGCCTATAGCTGGGGCCCTAACAGGTGCTACCACCCCGAGCCAAGGTGGACCTGGTAACAACAAAAGTTAAAAGGTGATTCCACACTCCTATAAACTACCGATCAGAGGCCATACTGCCGGATGTAGTTTATTGTCATACCCAGGACGAGCAGAGACTAGGTGTACACTATATGAGAAGTTTTACTGCTACCAGATACATAAAACTTATAAACAAGACGAAGTCGCCATGCGATGCATCATAAATCAATACATTTCAGCTGTCTACTCAAGCAAACGTGTAAAACTTACAATATACAGGAGAAAAAAATCCTAACTTCATCATTACCGATAACAATACGCCTATGAAAAGATTCAAACCATCAATAGAGTTTATCAATTTTGTTGAACCATAAAAAACAATGATACTTGAAATAAACAAAAGGTTTATGCTATAGTGGGTTATCAGTTATAGTGAAGTGTATGAGTGTTGAAACAGATTAGTTTGATTTGGCCTTGTTAGTTAGATAGCCCACCATAAGAGGGGTATAAAACAAGAAAATCAAATTGTAAGGTGAAACAACAAATTTATATACATATAAATCAGTTAAGGTCTCTACAAAAAATTAATGTATTTTGGTTGATACAAGGTCGTCAAAATGTTCGTAGTAGTACTTGCAAGAATGAATTTATGTGTACGTAGACAGGAACGTATTTATGTATGTATGAGCGTTATCGTAGGGTATGAATGTCTTTGAAGTAATCGCTCAGTCTTAAAAAGTTCCGTTCGTTTATCAAATATAAAAGAGGTGAGGGAGAAAGGTAGAGATGATAATAATAACGATCTCTTGACGTTTGTCAAGGGACATGTTAATACGCTTGTCTCCTTCTCTCTGGTGACAGGCGAACTTGTCAGTCTTTTATTTTGTTTGTGGGGCTTGAAATGTCATTTGGGTATTCACTCCCAGATATGATTCGGGCCTTTCTATTGGACGACGAAGAAACTTCGCGTCGGCTCGCGAAAAGGTCCGTAAAAGAATTTGTTTCTGGGAATTGAAGATTATTTGAATTTTGTTTTTAAATGTTTCCTAGTTTTCTATTGGCCGAAAAAAACATTTCATATCAAGGTGTGAATTTTTACAAGTTTTGTTTTGGATTCGCTTTTGCGTGTGTCAAGCAAAGTTTGTAAATTCGAATCTTTTTAATTTCTAACAAAATCAATGAGTCAGTGCTTAACATTTGAATTCTAAATCTAGATCTTGTTTTGCTCACTACAATTCCAACGCTATATTGACCAGACAAGAACATCAATAAGTCGTAGACTGATAAACCATTTAAGTGATCTTAGTTCGATAAGGAAACACATACAATACTCCTTGTTCACTTGAATAAAATCTTTGTGGATAAAACTGTTACTCTAAGATAATATCACTGTGTCGTGCCAAAAAGTCTTTCACATTTATAAATCTACCATTCTTCCTTGTATTTAATACCGTTGCCATATATGATCTGGTGTTTCTAGTGTGCATCTCGAGATTCTTGACAAAATCCAAAGAAGAGTCTGCAATACAATCAACCCTGACCTGGCATCTCGTTTCCAGTCACTTTCACATCGGTGTGACGTCTTTTCTAAGTACATTTTCATGGCAACTGCTCTGATGAACTATTTTCCCTGGTGCCCTGACTACATGAATTTAAGCGTGCTACTAGATTGGCAATTAGGTCTCACCGTTTTACTGTTGAACTAGCTATATGCAACCGCCATTTCCACTCTAACAGTATTTTCCTCGTACTTACCACCTGTGGGTATCCCTTCAGATTTCTTGCTTCCCTGATAACTACAATCTTCAAAAATTTGAATGCGACATCAATCGCCATCTTCTGTGTTCTTGAACCCTCTTCCTTTTTTTGTCCTTTCCTCAATCCTCCCCATTATCAGTCTTCTCATTATTTTTCATTTTCATTCCCTGTAACACCCGGCGTTCTAATGGCATTATCGCCTTGATTGGGGTGAAGAGATTATGAAAGAAAATTGTAAAAGGCGTTTAAAGATAACGGAAGCACTTTGAAGCAGCTTAAGCCAAGGCTCAAACTTTTTGAAACTGGATGGAACGTGTTAGCAGTGTTTTAAAGAAACACCAACATGGAATTACTACAGCACCCATCCAGCTTGCTTCTGAGTTAACCACTTCTACACAATATAGCTTAAAACATAAACGAAAAGAAAAATATACAGTGTAACCCGAATATAAGAGAGTTGTCGGGACCGGAGAAGAGGTCTCTTATATCCGGGTTTCTCTTATATCCGGGTTTCTCTTATATCCGGGTTTCTCTTATATCCGGGTTTGGTCTATTTTATATACACACTCTAATTTTAGACCAGAGAAAATCTCTCTTATATCCGGGTTTCTCTTATATCCGGGTCTCTTATATCCGGGTTACACTGTATATGTGTATATATATATATATATATATATATATATATACACTATATATATATATATATATATATATATATATGTGTGTATGTATATACAGTGTAACCCGGATATAAGAGAGTTGTCGGGACCGGAGAAGTCTCTTATATCCGGGTCTGGTCTATTTTGTATACATTAACACAGGCTCTAATTTGGGACCAGAGAAAATCTCTCTTATATCCGGGTTTCTTTTATATCCGGGTCTCTTATATCCGGGTTACACTGTACTAATAACGAACTCATTGAAAATGTTTAACGAATTGGCCGAAAGCTTTTGGGACAATAAGAACTTCGGACAGTTTTATACACTCTCTTACTTTATATAAAAAAAAAACCTGTAAGAACATAAGAAAAACTAAATGAAAAAACTTATAATTTTTTCCTCGACTACCACATGTGTAACAGAAAGTTTTCTATATTATACGTGGTCGGTCTGAAAAGTAACCTGACTGGTGTCACAAACAATTTATTTAAATTCTAAACAAAAAACTATATGGTTTCCCCTTCAAAGTATTCCCCCATTGGTCTAATGCTCTTTTCCATCGTTCTCTGCCACGTTTCTATGCACTGTTGGAAGGATTCTTCTTCGATGGCACTTAGCTCCGTCGTTACGGCCATTTTGATGCCCACCATGCCTTCAAAACAAGTCCTCTTGATGATCCCCTTGAGTTTGAGAAAAAGGAAAAAATCACACGGAGACAAGTCGAGGTTGCTCCAATGTGGCGATGTTCATCAAGAGGAAAAGTTTTCAAGAGAGCCGTGACGAATGAACTGCGGAAGATCCCTGGAGAATAATTCCAGGTGTGCATGGAGACGTGCCAGAGAAACGCGTTAGACTCGAGGGGTGATTTCGAAGGGGAAAATTTGTAGTTTTTAGTTCGAATTTAACATAAATCTTTTGTAACTTTCGTCCCGTTTCTTTTCTGGCACACCCCGTAGATAGATAGATAGATAGATAGATAGATAGATAGATAGATGAACAGACTAAGATAGATAGGTAGGTAGATAGATAGATGAACAGACTAAGAAGGATAGATAGATAGATAGATAGATAGATAGATGAACAGACTAAGATAGATAGGTAGATAGATAGATAGATGTACAGACTAAGAAGGATAGATAGATAGATAGATAGATAGATAGATAGATAGATGAACAGCCTAAGAAGGATAGATAGATAGATAGATAGATGTGTATGTGTGTTCCTCTGTGCGTTTGTGTATATTCACTCAAAGTTAACGTTCAAGTTTGTTCAAATTGATCCAACATTTTGACCTGCCTTAAATTCTCCCTGGAAGAAAATGTCGACCGAATTCTATTTTATTAGTCCCCGATTTTCATTTTCTTTCAGTTGCGACGAGAAAATGTGACCCATTCATTTATCTTCCTTTCGACACCGACTGGAACGACTACTCAAAGCATCCGAAAGGTGTTGGCGCCAAATCATTAGAAATAATTCCGATAGAGGGCGCGGTCGGCGGCGCAGCAGCGTATTTCAATGGCACGTCTTCTGCGACGGTCTGGGCGCTAAACAATATGCACTTTGGTTCGAACTTTACCATCACGTTCCGGTTCCGATCAAGCACTCAGAACAATGGCCAGTTTGCCCTAGTCGACAACAGCGACTGTGAGAAAAGTGCTACTTTCGGAGTGGCCTTGGACCAGACCGCGGCATCGTCCGTCTTGTATGGAGGATTTATTCTAGAAGACAATTCAGTCGTTAGACTTAACGCG